ATTCGTAACTGTGGTCTATTATATATTCACCACCTACGTAGAAGTTAGAACGGGGTAGTTTGGGAGCAAGGAAAGATTTCCTTCTTTTTTAATAGTGTTATTATTAGTAGTATTTCATGGGATCCTTCTTTCATTTCTCCACACAAGCAAAACCCTGCTAAGCTGCCCGTTTTAGCGCCTCAAAACCCCCACAGGCCACCATCGGCCGGAGTTAAATTCAACACACAACCAACCGCGATCATATCATCGCTCGCCAGTTCCAAAAAGTATCGAGACAGGAGATAGATAACTAAGGAAGAGAACATACATACCTAATAACAATGATTCTCCTCCTCCCCCTCATCACCTTCATCTTGGGCCTTTTAACAGCACCCGTCCTCATTCCCTTGCTGGCAGGAATATCGGCAAAGCTAGCCTCTCTCTGTTTGAGCACGAGCAGGAGAGTCGTCAAGGAGGACGATGATGATCAAGTAAAAGAGGAGCATGGCCTCTACAGTCTGGACCATGGGGTGCTGAATTTGCCCAGCCTGATGCCAGAGGAGATGTGGATGAACATGGGATATTGGAAGGTAGGTTTCCCTTTTTCTTCCCTTTTCTTCTCTTCTCTTTTCGTTTTCCATTTTTATTTTATTTATTTTAATTTATTCTTTATAGCCCATAGCCCATAGCCCATATATATATATAATATGTATGCCTTCAGATAATTGACTATTGTCAAGAGCAAATGTTTATACATCAATCACCCTGTTGAAAATAATTTTCCCACTCTAGTTGCCTAATTTCATGCAGGACTTTTTTTCCGACATAGATATCTAGCCCCTTGCTAGCCCCAAACCCCCTAGAAACAAAATGTCTTCCTTCTATGTATACCCAAATGTTACGATGGCCAAGTGAATAAAAGAGAAAAGAAAAAAAATCCAAAAAGAAAGGCTAATTAATCAAAACATGTGTGCCAAAAATTTACTAATCCCTCTCCTTTAACATGAGTTTAAAAATGAAAAAAGAACACGAATTCTTTCCCAGGCGCCTGTCGCGCATTGTTGGATAAGATCCTGCAAACAGCAGGTTTTGACGATGGGGATTCGACAAACGTTGCTGTCAACGCTGACAGTCTGGTTGCCAGTGCCACTGGTGTGGACTACCCGTCGCGCACAAATAGTCGGCCCACGCATACATCCCAAAGAAGGGAGCGGAACACCGATAAAAAGACGGCAACAAGCGGAGTAAGGAGGGTTATACTAGATGTTGGATTTGGGTGTGGTGAACAGACTTTGTATCTGATGAGGGAAAAAGCGGCCGTTCGCAAGGCACATGGTGGTTCTGGGGAAGCGGCTGGGTTAATTTCCCATGATGAGAATGATGAGAAGGATGATGTAGAAACCACGCCGTTATTTCAGCACTACATCGGTATCACCCTCGAGAAGATGCAATGTGCATTTGCACAGTCCAGGGTAGCGGAAGCTGCAAGGAACTGCAATACCTCTGCGGATAAAGACAGTGGCTCCTCGCAGGATTGGGGCAAAAGAAGGAAGCAGCCGATAGGCGGGGTTGTCGAACTCTTCTGCGGAGATGCAGCGAAACCACATGCATGGTCGGAGGAAATTCAGCGATCTATCTCGACTGCGTTTAGAAAAGGCGAGTATGCCGAGGAGGGGGGGGGAGATGATGGGGGAGAAAAGCCAGCTGAAGAGCGCTATGTCCTTGGCCTCGATGCGTTATACCATTTCAATCCCTCAAGACAGGAGCTATTCGAATATTCATATTCCACCCTCCAAGCAACCATACTCGCATTTGACCTCTTTCTGCCGCCAAAGTCGCACTCCTCATCACCACTCGAAACAGTTAAAAGGAGCTTAAATACGTTCGCCCTCCGGTGCCTAACACCGGCCCTGTCTGCTCCATTTTCAAATTTCGTAACCATAGCCGAATATAAACGCCTGGTAGAAAAGGCTGGCTATGGGCCTGAACACATCACGATAGAAGATATTACGGAAGATGTATTTCCCGGGCTCGCGCAGTTTTTTGAAAAGAGAATACAGGAGATGAGCGCACTGGGCCTGAAAGGCTTCACCAAGTGGAGGGTTTCTGGATGGCTGTTTCGTTGGCTTGCCGGTGGACAGGTGCTTAGGGCGGGTGTTGTTGTTGCGAAATGGAAAGGTAGCCCAGCCGCCTAGGAACCGTATGAGTACGGATGATAGCCCTGGTCTCCGAACCCAGAATCTGAGGTATCAAAGTTGCTGAGTGGGGAAGATTCTCCTATGGGTGCTTGTGGATATGGGAGATTCAGGTCGCCGGTATTAATTTCGGGAGGGAAAAGTTTATCCCACTCATTCTATAGAAGAAAGAAAAAATACTGTTAGCAATTCCACGTTTCATGGGAGGTGGTCTGAGGAAATTGAGGTCACAGGTTCAGATATCGGAGAGGATCAGGATCAGGGCGAAACATGAGAAGGGAATTATCAAATTGGAGAACTGAACCAATGACGGTGCAATATAGAAGCACCAAGTCAAACTTACCCAGTCAATATCTAGCATTGGCAAATCCTCCTGAGTACCACCCTTGGTGAAACCTTGACCACCAGCCATCGCCATTCCACCAACAGGGGGTGGCGGAGGAGCCAATCCGGCGCTTCCAGACGCAGCGCCGGGAAGGAACCACAACCTTGACGAGCCAGAATCTTCGGAAGTGGCCTCTGAGTCGAGACTCTGGCCCCGGGCGAGGCGTTGAGCATAATCAGGCATACAGTGGGGATTATGGAGTGACTGCAGCGGTCCATAAAAGAACTGGCCAGATTGAGCTTGCGAAGGTGTTTCTGAATAGGCTGGGAGATGGTGGAACTGAGGTGGTGGCGATGTCTTCTGCTGCTGTTGCTGCTGTTGCTGCTGTTGCTGCGGCAGCGGCAGTGGCGGCTGCCACTGTGACATTGACGTGGGTGGGTTACGCATGTTTGGTTGCTGGTATGGCTCACTTCTCTGCGGATAAGCTGTCATTGGTAGAGCATGTGATTGGGAGGGTGGGAATAGCGTTTGGTTAGTGATAGGCGCAGTTTGAGGGCCGCCAAGGGTTGAAGTGATAGAGATATACTGCCCTTCATGTCTCGGTGGCTGACTAGATTTAGATGTTTTCACTCCTTCTAGCCTCCGAACACTAGGCCTTGCATGGAGATTCGACGCTTCCTGCGTACCCTGCATGCTGACAGGAATTCTAAGTTTTCTTCTCTCGCGATAATGAACCATTCTCTGCTGTAATTGGCCTAGGATCTCGCGGGCTTTTCGATCCCGATGCACCAAGAGTTTATGTCTGTTGTTCGCTGAGTACTTCTCTTGTCCAGGTTCGTAGGGGGAAGGTGTCGTCTCAAAAGCATAGTACAAACATCGCCAGATGCGATCGGATTCCTTGCGCAGCGGATGTTGGTGAACTTCTACGAGGAGTAGGAAGGCAGTGTGCCATTGGTTGAATGCGCCTAGAGACCATGTCCACTTTGTGTATTCTGAGTTTGTTTCGAGCTCAATCGCATCCTCCAGCTGTTGCGTACCACTTGTTATTATGATTTGCCTTAGGCGATCTGGAACAACCAGGTCCATGCTGTTATGGTAGCGATGCAATAATGCGATGTATGAACGATTGAGATAAAACGACAGAAGAAGCTGAGCAGCCTTTTGTATCGGTTTTGGATTGGGAACTTGAAATAGAGGGCAAAACTTCGCTGTTGCAGCCTGACGGAATGCTTCAATCTTCCCCAATACATGTGTCAAGCTTACTCCCTTCTTCTCTATTCTGAGCCTGTCCACGTTAATGATCCGTTGCAACTCATGACATTCGAAACGGATTCGTATGTAGGTCATATCTGTCCATTGAGATTTGTCAGTAAGTGGTACGGGTGATGGGACACATAGGTCCTTCTCATCGATGTTTAGAGGGAACTTGGTGGAAAAGTTCTCTCTGCGGATAGAAAGACGGGGCCCGTGTGATTCGCTTGTCCGAATATCCAGAAAACATAGATGGTACCAGATCATCCTCCGAACGTGAGTCTCAATGGGCCCAAGACCATATTCTTCTGGGTCACGGTGGAATCCCATACACTCAGCCAAACGAATGGCAGTCCCTACAAGAACCGAATGGGCACGCGAGACTTCTGCTCGACACATGGGAATCTAGAAACATAATCTCAAATCAACACCAACAAAATATCGGACGGTCGAGGGAGAGACATGAAAGTAAAAATAATAAACATAAAAAAGACAAAAGGCATACCATATACATCACCAAAGCCTGGAGCGTCTGGGTTTTGGTGGTCTTCAAGAAGTTCGCTTTCCCCAGAGCCATTGCTGTTGCTAACTGGAAGTTTTCTATGAGTTTCTTTTGCGTGACCCCAAAGGTGCTTAAGACCGAATCCTCTGCCATACTTATTGCAGCGGAGAACATTGCGGCAAATATAACTGCCTGTAGGGAGTTTGCGGGCTCAAGCCCTCGAGAAACTTCTAGCCAGAAATTCTCATATTGCCTTTCAAAAGTAGGTCGATGGACAATTTTGGCTATAGGATCAACCGCTTCCCAGTATTGTTGTAATAATCTGTTGGCGGCAGCCCTGGATGGAAGGAAATCTGCGAGCGAGTACCTCCGTTCTCCACCCCCTCCAAAAAACATGTCCGAGTTCGGTGCAATGTAAGATGGTCCCGGGGTGAAAAAGGAGTCGTCGGGCTCAGCAATTGGTCCCGGGAAGCTGGAGGGCTTGGGTATTGGTTCAGTTGTGGTTTTGTCTGACACGGATAAATCTCCAAGGGCCATGGTAACCTGGGTCATGGCCATGTTAGCTTAAAAGGGTGCATCTACATATTGCATGGTCCTCCAGCGAGTTTGGGCTGCTTCTTAGGAAAAGTTCACACATATGGCAAATGTATAACCAGGCGCGTTGAAGTATAAAAAAAAGAGGCACAAACCTCCTCTGCAATTTTGGGACGAAAAAAACCGCCAACACGGTCCGTCATCCTCAACTTCCCGAGTTTGAACCCAAGGTCGAGAGTGTCATCGTCAGACCCATCTTCATATGCAGCATCCTGAACTGCCAGAGAAGTTGGCTTCAAGTTCTTCTCGTCCTCCGGGATAGCATTCGGTCCCTCATTCGGGTTTTCCAGAAGGCCTCCCAATGTATTTGAATCAACCTGTCCCTCCCGGGACGAAGTCTTCCTGTCCACCACATCCTGTTCTAAAGAACGCTCCAGCGAGCCCATCTTTTCCTTGAGCTCAGCAAGCATTTTCCGAGCGCTCGGGTCTAGGGCGGGAGCCAAGAACAAGCAGTCCCGCTTGGTTTTCGCACAGTTACTGCACGGGTGAAGCCTGTCGCACTTTAGTTTCCGCCGGCGACATTCCAGGCACGAAGTGATCATCCGATTGCGGCGGCGTATGCGAGGAGGTGCGGAAGTGGTTGCGGTGTTGCCGCCTTGAGGTGCGGCAGATCCACCTCCCGCCGACTGCGATCCCGCATTGCCACCCGCTCCACCATCTCCACCAACTCCATCCCCGCCCCGAGTATAGCTGTCATTGGTCTCGACTTTCGCGGGGGAATCTTGTGTCGAGGATAAGACTGAGAGTGACTGCCGGGAGTTCTCAGCAGTCGTGGAGCGACTGTGTTGCTGGGACAAGCCCAACGCCGAAGGATTCATCAGATGGAAGAAAAAAGCAAAAACAGAGGATCCAGTAAGAATCAGCTAGCTCCTCGAACGCCGAAGGCCTCGGATATTTAGGGTAACGTTAGCTAGCAGAGAAGTAATACCGGAGGGCGGAGGCCGACGACAAGAATCGAAGACATGTTACGGACGTTAGCCAGTCTCTGCACCACAGACAGGCGCCGTGCTGGAGATATATAAGAGAAAAGACAAACCACGACCACAGACGAGACCGGATCAGGAATAGCGCTGTGTCCAATAGGATTTGATGCGATGTCGTTATGTGTCCGCAGGCGATTTCAACGTTTATTTACGCCGTGCAGGCGAGGGGGCGGCCAAAAGCCAAATCTAACTTGTCAGAACTCCAGGCAGCGAGATTACATTACTACGAGTTTTTTTTTTTTTTAAATTTTATTTACCAGCGATGTCACGGCGTGTTGGTGCCCATTTTTGACTGTCGAGCTGGACGGAAGAAGCATTCTCGCCGCCTAGACGGAATATTCAAGAAGCCATACTCTGTACAGATATAACTACTCCGTATGCTGTAGATGATAGAGAAAAGTCACAATATTTTCGATGGTAGAGGAATTGACCAGCAACTGATGGTTTATTATTTCCAGAAACTCCTACTGGACTGGAGGACCAAGCTATTATTTAAATAATAATAATAGTGTTTACGCTACGTATTTCCCTCAAAAGCACGTCTATTGGCGCAGGCTCTGAGATTGCCCTCTTTGGGCATAGCGAGCGGGTGATCGAGAAATTGAGTCCGTCCCATTGAGTCAAAAAAACCAAAAAAAAAAGAGACAAAACAATGCAACCTCACGGATGGGGGTTCATAGCGGGCGGGGGCTCACGGGAATTCCAACTCACTCCCACACAAGTCGATTCTAGCCTAACTACGGAGTAGAGGTTATATATATTGTTACTCTCTTGACCCAGGGGTATGACAATGACATGGAAGCGAATGCCTTACTCCCTCTTCGCTAAACGAGCCCTCTATAGCGTATGCAGGGCGGCTCTCTGATCTAGCTCTCTCTCCCTGGAAAATCTCTCTATATATTAAAGAAAAACCAACTTTTCCGTGCAAAAAACGCTGTAACGTGACCTCACGTGACGTCACGTGCACCCCATCAAAAATCCATGGATACGTAGTGGCGCCTGCCAATTGCACCACTCTATCTACCCTCTATCATCACCACCGCCTCTAACGCCCCGTAGCACCCCCTATTACTTCCACTTCATACCCCTACCTCCATCTTACCACTCACTCTTACCACCCCTACCACCCCTACCACCCCTACCACTTCTATCACCTCTACCACTCCTACCACCCCTACCACCTTTATCACCACTGCCTCTACCACCCCACAGCCCCCCCTATCACTTCCACTTCATATCTCTACCCTACCCCCATCTTACCACTCACTCTCTTACCATCCCTATCACCTCTACCACCTCTACACTTCTTCCACTCCGACCCCCCCTTACCACCCCTTATCACCCCTTACCACCCCTATCATCTCTATCACCTCTACCATCACCACTGTCTCTACTGCCTCACAGCACTCTGT